TGAATCATTTAAACACCTATCTACATAACTGTGGACCCAGAATCAGAAATCTGAAGAAATATTTATAAAATAATTGTTTCATTTTCATGTTCGGCAATGACCTGTACCAACTGTTACAAAACTACAGCTTATTTAAAATCTAAACGTCGGTAAATATTTAAATATTACTTTCGGTAACTATGAATGGAGTAAAATCAATAAAACAATTTTCTTTTCTGTACGATTTGACAATTGGCAGTACCAACTGTTATAAAACTAAAGTTTGTCAAATTTGAACGTACATAAATATCCAAATTACTGTTGGTAACTTCGAATGAAACGCATGCAGTAAAGCAAAATACTCTTAAATGTTCTGAAAACTACACAATTCAGTTATCACAACAGTAATAATAATTTTCAGGAGATTCGCATTTTTCCAGCTTTTACATATTATAGTTATTTTACATTTACTATTTTTTAACTTTTCACTGTAAAAATGAATCAACTAAAATCAGCTTTTTTAATACTGTACCTTGTAACTGTTGAAAAGCAGCACAAGACCGTCTGTGTAAGCACAACATTGTAAAAGCCGGAAAAATTGATCACGTTTTGTAATGATTATAACACTAAATAGTCAGCTATTGAGTGGGTCAAGGCGAGGTGTAGTCACAGTGCAGCCACATCCATTCTGATATGACCAGATTAGAATACCATGCTGACCCTGTTACTCCTAAGTCAAAGACTTACTACCCGTTTCATCCTTGGTTGCACTCAAAGGAATTGGCGGCCAAGACAAAGATTTTTCAGTCACAGGATCCGAACCGGACACTTCTGGAATTTTAAGTCGGTTTCTTTGAAACTGTGCACCACGCCCCGCTGTTGAGTGTGTTATGTGTGAATTCAGTTGGAATAAAAAATTGTTTACCTTATGACATCGCATTTATTCGAAACGTAATGTCCAACATTTCGGATTGAGCATGATTTATTATGCGGTATCATCTAATGAAGAATTTTTAAATTTTCAACAATACTGTTGATCTGTCTGATCATGGTGTGTCACAAAACAAATAACTGTACTGTTGCTATTTTGCGCTTAAATAAACTGTTTTTGTGCTGTCTTTCAATCTCTATAAGATTACATTACTAAAAATCGATTATCTTTTTATGCCTTACTGTAAAACCGACAGTGATTCACCGTCAACTAGCGTGTTTTGCGTGATGATAACCGGATACAGTGACATCCTTAGACCTGAAAATGCGTCTGTTATATAGAACCATTTGCGGAAAGGAAAACCAGGGTTGTTCAGTCGGTAGAGCGTCTGATTAAGAACCGAGATAATCCGGGCGCAAAACCCGGTCGGATCACTCAGCTCTCTACGGAATATCGATATTTAAACGTTACACACTTTCCCTTCCTTACATGTGCCGAAAGATATCAAAATGTTACATGTACAAATTACAGAAACTAGCCTTATAAC